AGGGGTGTGGGGAGCAGAGGGGCTTTGGGCATAGGAAAAGTGCTGTAGAGTCTTTCACCTTCAGCCCATGTGGCTAGGAACAGGAAGGTGTTTGTTAGTTTCTCATGGCTGCTTGGTGATTTGCATCAGAGAAGTCAGATGACCCAACCCAGTTTCTAGCAGATTAGTCCTAGTCTAGAGTGCAGAAGAGCTTGCCACAGAGCTGTGTGGCTGTCCAAGAAGCACAGTGTCTTTGAGCCTTTCTACCAGCTGCCTGCCAAAGAAACTATAAATGGGTTTCCATAAGAACAGAATAAGTTCAAGGAAGATATGTCCATTAATGGCTACTAGCCAGAATGGGCAGGGATGTGGGGATGGATCATCTGATAATTGCCTCCTCTGTTCATGCCTTCTGAAGCATCTGGCATTGGCAATGGTTGGAAGATACTGGCCTAGACCATTGGTCTGACCCATTTTGGCCATTCTGATGTTCCTGTATAGAACTTAGATGTAGCTGCCCCCTGCTGTAAACTGAGAGACTCCATTCCCTTTCCAGAGCTGAGATAGACAGACAGACAGACACTGTGAGACTGTCAGGATTCCTGGGCTCTGTTTCTCTCTCCATAGAGTTAGTAAGAAAGTAAGAATTTACATTAAAATTGTAAGGCTAACCAGTGTCTCTTAAGTGACTTGCCACAAGATGTCAGTTATTTAATTTTCTTTATTTTATATAGGAATTAGATACAGTGCTCCTGCCAGCTAATTGCTAAGTTATCGGTCCCCACTTCCCCCGCAAAACAAATCTAGAGTTTTTTCAGTGCCATAATAGCCTCTGGAAAGAGGTGGTGTGTATGTGTGTGTGTGTGTGTGAGGATGGATGAAGTTGGTCCCCCTCCATTTGCTGCTTGGCTTGTATTGAGCATACTCAGTAACATTGCTAAAGCTGCTGTCCTCAGTCTGCTCCCTCCCCATGCTCTCCCTTTTCTTCCCTTCCCATCATGACATGCACAGGTCAGCCTTCCCTTATCAAAATTGGAAATGGTGCCCCAGCGTTGCCCTTTCTCTACCTGACCCTTTGTGATCAACAGGGTGCAAGACACAGAGGTGTGAACATAAAATCTTGGGGTTCTTAGGTCTCTTGCAACGCCAGCAGAGTTCCTGGGGAGTGAGCTGGCCTCTCTTCCAACTCATGCATCGGCCTGATTGATCGAGTTGTAGGATTTTGGGGAGGATACGTAAGCCAGAGGAGCCCAGTTTGACTTTTAGATCCAAGGGCGAGTTTGCCATGCTGGCTCTGTCAACTGAGACTATTGACCCGGGATGACTGAGTAGAAACGCTCACGACTGCTCTTTAGGCAAAACTGCACTTTCAGAAAGTGCCACCAATCTAATAACTTCATCGCCTAGCAGTGCATATGCGTTGCTCATCTCCCCTTTCTCCATTTGCAGCTAGCCCCAGAGGTGAGTCGCGTGAACTTCTCTCTGCTGGAGAAGAGGATCAACTTTGGAGAGAAAGGCGACACTCCAAACGGCTTCGAGATCATCCAGTGGCAATGGGACCAACCCAACTCCCCTTTTAAGAAAATTGCCTCTTACAGCACAAAGAACCGGCAGATGCAGTTCGTTACGTCGAACATCTCCTGGCACACCCCAAACAACACGGCAAGTTCCCTCCACCCATTATCACCCACCTCATGAAACTATGGCAAATCGTGGAACTACAAGAGCAAAATCCAGGGGAGGCGGGCTTAGAGCTAGGCCCCTCTTTGTGCCTCAGTTTCCCCATCTGTAAAACAGAGAATGATACGTACATCTTTTATCATGTGCCTTGAATGCAGCTAATGCGAAGTGCTAGATTGGAGTGAGGGATTATTGTGCCACATACATGGGACTGGTGCATGTAAATCCTCTCTCTTGGGCAACAAAATGAACAGTGACAAGAAAAGGGGTCAGCATGGGCTGCCGGTGCAAGACTCGTGCACACAGTAACAAAGCTTGAAAATTCAAAATTGCTTTAAAATTCGAAATTGCCTACAGCCAGAAGAATGTTCCTCCAGCTCTTTGTCTGGCTCGACAGTGACACCCAGTGGTTGGTTTGGGTACTCCCGGATAAGTGCTCTGCCCATCCCTCTTCTCTGCTTAAAGGTCAAGCAGTGGCTGGATTGTTCTCAGGAATGCTTTGCTTATGGCCACCCCAAGAAATCAATGCTTGTCTTTTTGCCATTGGAACATGGGATTCAGCCATCAGATATACATACCAGTTATAACCTTCCCAGCAAGTTTACCAAGAGGGGCACAGTCTAACCTGTCCCCAACTTAAAGGAAAAACTCAAAAAACAACTAATATTCTAGCAGCACCTTAGAGACTAATGAAACATGTAGATGGCATCATGAGCTTTCATGGGAACAGCCCACTTCTTCAGATGAATGGCGTTATGAAAGGGCCAGTTTCTAAATAAATAGGGGATTGGGTGTTATAGGAATCAAAATTTCAGGCCAATTTCACACGCCAACTCCACAGGGAAGCCTTAGAATTTAGCTTCATTTACAAGTTTATTCATACCTCTGTGATAGGAATCAAACACAAGTTCTAAGGCTTCCCTGTGGAGTTGGCTTGTGAAATTGGCCTGAAATTTTGATTCCTATAACACCCAATCCCCTATTTATTTAGAAACTGGCCCTTTCATAACGCCATTCATCTGAAGAAGTGGGCTGTGTCCATGAAAGCTCATGATGCCATCTACATGTTTCATTAGTCTCTAAGGTGCTGCTAGAATATTAGTTGTTTTTTGAGTTTTTCCTTTAAGTTGGGGACAGGTTAGACTGTGCCCCTCTTGGTAAACTTGCTGGGAAGGTTATAACTGGTATGTATATCTGATGGCTGAATCCCATGTTCCAATGGCAAAAAGACGAGCATTGATTTCTTTCTTTAAATAGGGTCAGAGTGGTGGTGGAGTTAGTCTGTAACTGGAAAAACTTAAAAAACAACTAATATTCTAGCAGCACCTTTGGGTACGTCTAGACTACATGCCTCTGTCGCCAGAGGCATGTAGATTAGGCTACCAGACATAGTAAAATGAAGCGGTGATTTAAATAATCGCCGCTTCATTTAAATTTACATGGCTGCCGCGCTGAGCCGACACACAGCTGATCAGCTGTGTGTCGGCTCAGCGCGGCAGCCATGTAAATTTAAATGAAGCGGCGATTATTTAAATCACCGCTTCATTTTACTATGTCTGGTAGCCTAATCTACATGCCTCTGGCGACAGAGGCATGTAGTCTAGACGTACCCAAAGGTGCTGCTAGAATATTAGTTGTTTTTTAAGTTTTTCCAGTTACAGACTAACTCCACCACCACTCTGACCCTATTTAAAGGTAAAGCTTATTATGTGGTTGGCATTATCCTAGCTCTGTATCCCCTTGTCTGTCTCTGGTATGGCTGAATTGGATCGTAACTGTTACGGAGCATTTACAATCCTTCTGGCTCACCTGGAGGTTGCTATAAGGTCATCATTGTTTTCCTCTAATTCCCTTTTACCTAGGTCCCGATTTCAGTCTGTTCCCAGGCATGTGCTTTTGGGCAGCGGAGGAAGCCCAGAGGTGGGAGCAGCTGCTGTTTTGAGTGTATCGATTGCAAAGCAGGGACTTTCCTCAACGAGAGCGGTAAGGCACCTGCAGCATACACGCCTGCACACCCTTAGTTTGACACCACCTTCTGCTGGGAACAAGCACCAGAGGATGATGTGAAAACAAATGGGCTTTAGTACAGGCAAGTGCGTGAGACTCTCTTGCCTGGGTAATGCAGGAGGTAAGACTAGATGACCTTGGAATGTAGACAAGGAATACCTGTTACCCCAAAGCATTTCCTGTGTGTCCTTGTACAAATGACTTAGTTCTCGCTAGCCCTCAGTGCCACGTCCATAAAATGGGGGCAAATAAATCCTTCCTTTGTCTTCTTCATTGGGCTTGTAAACACTTGGACAGGCACTGCCTCTCACACCAGCTGGCACAACGGGCCCCAGTCTTTGCTGAGATCGGGAAGATCCTCAAGGCCATGCTTTCTCCTTCGCATTCAAATTCTCGGTGTATGGCAAGGTGGGCTGGTGGCCACCAGAAAAGGGGATGATGCTGACCTGACTCTTCCATTATCACTTTTCACAGTGATTCGCCATTTGACTGTTACCGGGCCGAACTATGGCTCAGCTTCCCTGGTTGTAAAATGGATTTCAGACCGCCTTGCCTTATCAGGGAGTCGTGAAGCTTAACCTAGTGTTTGCAGTGGTCTGTGAGATCCTCAAATAGAAGGCCTTAGTTTGTCAAGCTTATTGGGTTCATTCAGGTTAGAAGATGCTATGCAAATTTCAGATATAAACCACACCTATATACTCTGGGGATACCTGGCCCAGAAGTGCAGTCAGTTCTAAGGTGGAAAACAGTAGGGTAACAATGCACAACAACTCCAGCAGGAAGGGAAAAGGCACAATGACTTGATACAGGGGGAATTTTGGGGTGCAGAATACAATTAGGCGCAAGAAGACCTAAGAACATGTGTGCAGTGTAGACGCTCTGCAAGTTTTTGCGTAAGAACAGTTGTTTTTGCGCAAAAAGCCTGCAGTGTAGATATAGCCTCTCTCATGAATGAAATTTATCCAAGACACGAGAGGTCTGTCAGCAGAGGGATGCAGATTAGGCAGGTCGACGTTGCAAATGAGGCAGGGATTTAAATATCACATGCCTAATTTGCATAAAAATGGCCACCGCGTTTTGCAGACTCAGCACTTTGTTGGCAAAAAGCAGCAGTCTAGAGGGGGATCTGTTGAGAAATAAAGCCTTTTTCGACAGATGCTGTAAACCTCCTTGCAGGAGGGATAAGGGATCTGTCGAAAAAGGCTTTCTTTCTCAACAGATCCCCCTCTAGACTGCCGCTTTTTGCTGACAAAGCGCTGAGTTGGCAAAACGCGGCGGTCATTTTTATGCAAATTAGGCGTGGGATATTTAAATCCCCGCTTCATTTGCAATCTCAGTCTGCCTAATCTGCATCCCTCTGCCGACAGAGGGATGCAGTCTAGGCATACCCTAGGGTTAAAACCCTATGTTTGCAAAAAAAACCCAAACCAAACCCACAGGCTCACTAGGGATGGTAAGTGGCTTTTCCTCTCATGTTAAAGACTTCCCCGCCTACTGCCCAGTGTACCAAACTTAGGGCACTGGCTCACATATTAATCAGGAAGAAGAGTTTTAGTTTCTGTACAATGACTACTGCTTTGGGTTTCTCATGGACGACTCCCAATCCAGAACTGACCAGGTCTGACTCTGCTTAGCCGGTGAGAGCTGACAAACAGCAGCCTGAGCTAGTAGAGTAGAAAACCTTTAGCATCACGCCCATCTGTTCTGCTCTTGCTAAACATCGTGACTATTTGCAGAACAGACCGTCCTTGCCTAAGGCCTTTCAGAAACACCACATTTTGTTTTGCAGATCCATATAACTGCCAGCCTTGTCCAACTGATCAGTGGTCCAAGACCAACAGTGAAGAGTGCAACCCGAGGCTGGTGAAATATCTGGAATGGAAGGAAGGCACCACCGTGATGCTGATGCTATTTTCAGTGCTTGGCTTCATAGCTACTCTCGTAATCCTGGTGACCTTTGCCGTTCATTCGCACACCCCTGTGGTGAAGTCGGCAGGAGGCAACATGTGCTTCCTCATGGTGGGGTCTCTGATCGTCGGTTTTGTCAGCATCCCCATGTTCTTTGGAATCCCGACGGAGTTCAAGTGCGTGTGCCGGCAAACTGTGTTCAGCTTCTGCTTCACCGTGTGCATCTCCTGCATCACGGTCAGGTCCTTCCAGATCATCAGCATTTTCAAGATGGCTGCCCGGCTGCCCAAAGTCTACAACTACTGGATAAAGTACAATGGGCAGTACACTTTTATAGCTGCAATCTTAGCTCTGAAAGTCTCCATCATGGTGGCCAACATGATCATCCACCCTCCTGCTCCGGTTCAGTTATACCTGGAGGAAGACCCCTGGATAGTAGTGCTGGAGTGCAACAAGAGCTACAAGTTGGCCTTGCTAATTAACAGCATGCTAGATATGTTTCTCTCTATTCTGTGCTTCTATTTTGCCTACATGGGGAAGGAGCTTCCCAAGAACTACAACGAAGCCAAGTACATCACACTGTGCATGGCCTGCTATTCCATCACCTGGCTTTCCCTTCTCCTGGTCATGTCCCTGTACAGAGGGGTGCTGGTGACCATCTTTGATGCGGTGGGTATGCTAATCAATTTGTTTGGGATCTCCATGGGTTACTTTGGTCCCAAGTGTTATGTGATATTTTTCCATCCAGAACGCAACACGGCTGCTTACTTTCAAACTGCCATCCAGAGCTACACCATGAGGCAGAATTAACCCAGTACCATGTCTTGGTATAGAGATAGTCCCTATAGTGAAAGAAGCCCTAACTCCAATGCTTCTGTATTAGAGGCCAGTCTTTAGCTCCGCGAGAAGCGGATCAATGCTTTGTAGATTGTACAACTGTATGAATCTTGTAAATTTCCCTCTTTTCCCCTCAAGAAAGGCAACACATAGGGTTGGCTGGAAAACGAGAGTTCTGTTTCATGAAAAAAATCAAGGCTTTGATACTTGTTTTTATTCTGCATGGGTACGTCTACACTGCACAGCTATTTCGGGATACCAGAGGTATCCCGAAATAGCTACCCCGTATTTACATAAGCTGCCCATTATTTCAAAATATTTTTCAAAGTAATGAGCGCGCTATTTCACCATCCCCATAATCCTTGTTGCACAAGAGATAAGGGATGGCTCGAAATAGCATGTTATTTCGAAATTTGGCACTGTGTAGACGCACCAAATTTCAAAAGAAGCTATTTATTTTGAAATAGATGGAAAGTAAGATACGCAATTTGCATAACGCAAATTGCATCTCTTATTTTGAATTTAGGGTGCTGTGTAGATGCACCCCATCAGAAAAGAACTGAACCTTTTAGTGCCAGACAGCGCAGTGGTGAGGACACTCCCCTGGGAGTCCTTACTCTGAATCAAAGCCTCATTCCCATATCCCAGCAGAGTGTCCTCACCACTAGGCTATGATGCTCCTGCGAGATCTGTTCCATTCTGCATAAATAATTAAATATTCATTGGGCCAGACACAAAGAGATTGGCTCTGTAGCCTTGTCTTTAGAGCATCTCCTGGAAGGTAGTAACTAAATTCCATCCTGGACCGGAGACACGTTCCCAATGAAACTTTCATCCAAAGCAAGACATTTCCACAGAGGGTTTTGCTTTGGATGAAGGGGGCTTTCCCAACCAAGAGGATGTCATTAAGTGAACCCCAAGACATTATGGCCCAAATTTCCCAGAAGTGGTGCTCCAATGAGAGGCCCATGAGGTCTTGTGTTCAAAGCACCTTGAGTTACCATGGGCTATATGGCCTTCTGGGTGCTCAGCATCTCTAAAATAAACCAGGCCCCCACAAGGTGCTGAACAGAGACTGACACTCAGTAGCTGTGAGTGAAAATGTGGCTGTAAACAACCCGAGCTGGACAGCCTTGCTAGTTTCTTCTTCTAGTCTAGCTGATGAGGCCCAAGTGCGTTGTTATGTGACCCTCTGCGATTAGACAGGAAACCATTAGCTTGGCGCTGGCATCAAATGTTTTCACAAGCAGCCTGGCAAGATGCAGGACCAGCAACTAATTCAAACCAACACACATGGATGGAGCTTATTGAACACCGCAGGTGCTCAAACCTGATGCTGTTACAAAAGCTTCAGAGGGGGAGCCGAGTTAGTCAGTTCCTAAGGTGCTGCAAGATTATTGCTTGTTGTTTTTTTTATTTTTCCAGTTGCAAACAAAACATGTAGATGCTTTTTCGCGTGTTCTACCATAATAAAGGTTTTAAAAACTGACTTGATTTGCTCTGATCACACTGAGACTGGGCTGAGGGGTAATGGTCCCAGAATTATGATGGCATTTAAAGCTCCCAGATGAGACTGGAGTATCACTGTGCCAGGTGCTGTACAGTTAAGATAAGAGATAGTCCACACACAATAATCTAAAAAGACAAGACAAGCAAGAGGAGAAACTGAGGCACAGTGACTTGCCTATGCAAACTTATTAAGCCAGTGGCCCAGATCTCTTAATTCACAGCTTCATGTCTTACCCGCTAAACCACATGGCCTCTCCTCCTACAGTCCTGCAGTGTTGGGCTCCAAGAGAGACAATCTCCCTCCCGCAAACCAGCCTAGGTCTGGTGCTCCCCAGACTGGCAGGATATGGAGCTGCTGGGGGAAGAATGGGAATCGGGCTGGAAAGAGCAGACCAAAGCAGTTCGGATCAGCATCCCAAAGCTAATCTGAACGGCATCTCTGAACCCTCTGAGTTCGGGCCCTCAGCTCATTTAAATCTCATTAAGGGATCTGACTTGTGCCCCCCCCCCCGCACCCAGCCACGCTCGGAAGCCAGGCAACTCTGAGTACTCAGCGGCTGCTTTTGACTCATGCCTTTTATGACTTAAGGCCACAGTGTCGAGTGGATTTTTAGCCTTACCTCTGAATTTCATGGCTTTTGTGACTTTAAATCAGGCCCTTAATGCTATTTAAACAGTTCACTTTTTGAAGCTGATAAATGCTATTTGGGGAAGGTGGGGAGAAGGGAAGGAGGATTGCTGCGAGGGGGGTGGTGGTCAGGAATTTCCAATGTTCTGATCAGACGTTGCAACGTTCTCTTACATTTTGCCCGAGATGGGGGAACAGAAATTTTATACCCCAGGGTGCAAGGGAAGGATGGCAGGGGCTAGTAGTGCTACATTACAGAATCTCAATCACAGCACATGCAAACTAAAGTGGCCACAGGTTAAGGGCAGCTCCTTCGCTTATGTTCAGTGCCACACCTCGCCCCTGCATAGCTAAGATCCACGGTTGGCCAGTGATTTTGGGACGGAGACTTCAGCCTGGCTCGCCCACTCTCTAGGGCTCCTTCTACACTACAAGTTTTCTCTGCAAAAAAAATGCTGATGAGGGATTCATTTCCATGAGTTGTGATCTCATTTACATACTTTCTGCCAATCCGTTTTTGTGCTAGGGGGTTTTGCGCAAAAACAAGCATGTTTTCTTTTTGCACAAACCCCCCTTTTTCCACAAGGCTGGTATGCCTCCTTTTTGGGGATGCGGAAAAAGGGGGTTTTGGGCAAAAAGAAAATGTCCACACTTCTTGTTTTTGGGCAAAAACCCTTAGCGCAAAAATGGAGTGGCATAAAATATGCAAATGAGATCATGACTCATGCAAATGAGTTCCTCATTAGCATATTTTTTGCCAAGAAAACTCGTCGTGTAGACATAGCCTAGGTCAATAACGTATAGATTCATCTGCTTTTGGTTAGCAGCTCTCACTGAGGCTAATTGGCAGATCAAACCATCTGATGTACCATGTTAGATAAGTAGTTATAAGAGCCCAGATTGAGTATGACACTTCTTGGATGGATCCCAAAGTCATTCCTCCCCCCCATCTCCACCAACCACAGATTGCTCATGGTGCTAATGCAACCCAGATTTGAAAGCACAGAAGCTGCAGGGGCATTAACATAACAAGTGTCAAAACGCTTTGAACTGTTCCTGGCAAAGGGCCACACTAAATTCTTCACACTGAATGGGCCTTCGTGGTGGGTTCCGAGACAAGCAAGTGAAATGTAAGATTTAAAGGAAAGCAAATGGGGAAGCCGGGGGTCACGCACACCCAGTAAGATGGGGGCAATGAATGGGAGACCCAGAAAATTCCACTTTCGAAGACGTGAACGTCAAGAGCTTTAATTTTTCCACCCAACGGAGAGGATGGCGTTTTGTGGCTTTCAGAACAGCATTAGCTACACCAGGGATGGACAGAATACGGCCCACAGGCCCGAGCTGGCCTGCCAAACATTTGGAACTGGTTCGCCATGACCCTCCAGGCTGCTAATGTTCTACAGCCCAGCGGGGCGCTCAGGCTGCCTGCCTGCTCTGGCCCCACATGCCGCTCAAAGCGGCTGGGAGCTGGGGCAAGCGTGTTTCTGTGAGTGCCTTGCTGGGAGGGAGGGGCAGCAGGTCACCACGTGCTGTCTCCATCCCCGGCACCATCCTCACCGCTCCCATTGGCTGGAAACCAGCTGTGGGGGCAGTGCTTGCAGGTATAGGCAGTGCACGGAGCCTGGCTGCCCCCCTCTCTCCAAGGAGCGCACAGAGACTCACATGCCCCAGCACCTGGCACTGTCTCCTGCAAACCAGCCCTCTGGCCGAGGTCACAACCCCCTTTTTGCATCCAAACCCCCTCCCAGATCCTGCACCCCTGCCCATGGGCGTCCAGTTGGTTAGGCAAGGGAAAGCTCTGCCTTCCCAAGCCACCAACCTGGCCATGCCCACACTCTGCCCCCAGAGCGCCTACGATAGCACTCTGGTGGCGGAGCATTGCTGCCCCCAGGGCCTGCCCTCCTGGTGCTCCTGGCTGGGGAGGCTGGAACCATCTCCTCTATCTCCCCTAGTGCTCTGGAAGCCACGCTGCACGCATGCTCCCCTTCCCTCTCTTCCCCTCCCCAGTGCTCCAGGGAGGCTGGGGAGCTCTTGGCACGCTGCCCCACCTGTTCCCCTCCCCAGGGGGCAGGGTCTCTGCAGAGGGGGAGGGGCTGGGGGAGCCCTGGGGGGCTCCATGCCTCTGCCCCAGGTCTAGGGTTGCCAATTTTGTGGCAATGGCATCCAGTGCAGGAGCGTTGGCAACCCTACCGAGGCCACACACCCCTCCTGCACTCCACTTCCCTGCCTGGAGCGCGTTCCTGCACTCAGATTCCACTCTAGACCTCACACCCCCTAAGTGAATACAGGCCGTCCTTGCTATTAGTCCAATATACGTTCCAAAAAACTTGGAATTACAGCAAAACAATTTAAAGTGGGGAATTTTTTCCTACGGCTGACTTCCATTTGCACAACATGGGTTGTTGTTTTTTTGTGCGACTTAAGAGCAGGGAATGGGAGGACGTTGAACGCATCAGTTCCTACAAGCGCCAACGATGTTAGTGCGGAACAGAGGTATACCGGGGCGACGTATCGCGGGGACACCCTGTTCAGTAGAAAAGTATGGCCCGTGACCACTTACCAAATTCTTGCCCACCCCTGGTCTACACTGAGCAGGCAAGAGGAACGAGTCAGGCGCCAACAATCATGAGTTTGGCTTACAAATCAGGAGACCATCAAACATCCCAGATCTTGGGGGTCACTGAATGGCTTTCTGGTATCTGCACCAATAGGGGTCATATTGTCAAGCTTTCCTCCACAGCTCCAAGGGCCAGCCTGTGTGTGGAGTCTCCATCACTAGCCATGTGCCGTTTAAGACTGGAAAGTTTTCTAGAAGATAGGAATTACTATAGGC